AAAAAATTGATAAAAAATCAGGGGAAAATGGGAATGAAATGGGATAAAAATGGGAATAAAATCCAAATAAAATGGGAATAAAATTGAAATAGAATGGGAATAAAATGGGATAAAAATGGGAAAAAAATGATAGAAAATGGGGATTAAATGGGATAAAAATGGGAATAAAATGGGAATAAAATGGGGAAAAAATGGGAATAAAATGAGATAAAAATGGGAATAAAATGAGAATAAAATGAAAATAAAATGAGAAAAAAATCGCTAAAAAATCCGAGGAAAATGGGAATAAAATGGGAATAAAATGGGAAAAAATTTGATAAAAAATCGGGGGAAAATGGGAATTAAATGGGATAAAAATGGGAATAAAATGTGATAAAAATTGGGGGGAAATGGGATAAAAATGAGAATAAAATGGGAATAAAATGAGAATAAAATGAGAATAAAATGGGAAAAAAATGGGAAAAAAATGAGAATAAAATGAGAAAAAAATCGCTAAAAAATCAGAGGAAAATGGGAATGAAATGGGATAAAAATGGGAATAAAATGAGAATAAAATGGGGAAAAAATGGGAATAAAATGAGAATAAAATGGGAAAAAAATCGCTAAAAAATCCGAGGAAAATGGGAATAGAATGGGAATAAAATGTGATAAAAATGGGTTAAAAAAATTGAATTTTGGGTTTTTTTTTTTGCAGGAGGAGGAGTCAGAGTCAGAGTCAGAGTCTGACGAGGACTGGGGGGACTCGGCCTCGGAGTCGGACTCGGAGTCGGACGAGGACGAAGGAAAATTCACATCCCTGGCCTCGAAATTCCTGAAAAAGTGAGAGGAAAAAAGGGGAAAAGGTGGGGGAAGAAGGGAGGGAAAAGGGGGAAAAGTTTGGGGCAAATGGGAGGAAATTTGGGGAAAAAATGAAAAAAATCGGAGAAAAAACGGGCGGGAAAAAAGGGGAAAAAATCGGATTAAAAATGGATTAAAAATGGATTAAAAATTGGATTAAAAGTGGATTAAAAATGGATTAAAAATTGGATTAAAAGTGGATTAAAAATGGATTAAAAATTGGATTAAAAGTGGATTAAAAGTGGATTAAAAATGGGGAAAAAATTTGATTAAATATGGGGGGAAAATAGAGAAAAATTGGGGAAAAAATGGATTAAAATGGATTAAAAGTGGATTAAAAATTGGATTAAAAATTGATTAAAAGTGGATTAAACATGGGAAAAAAATGGGAATAAATGAGGGGGAAAATGAGGAAAAATGACCCCAAAAATGGAATTAAATGGGCTAAAAAATGGATTTTTTTTTTTT